CTACTAACCTCCCTGACTTCCTTTAAGCCTAAAATCTTACCTTCTACTAGAAGCCTTCTCTCTTTTAATTATTTCCTATTTATCCTGTATATGGCTTGCTTTGTATATATTTATTTACATGTTGTCTCCACCTTTGGATTGTAAACCCCTGGAGGGCAGGAACTGTCTTTTGTCTCTTTTTGTTTCCCTAATGCTTAGTACAGTACCTGACACATTATAGGAGCTTAATAAATGTTTATTGAATTTATTGAGTAGGCCAAAATGCCCCTCCCTGGCCACTACTACCCTCTATGTGTTGTCTTCCCCATTAGAATGTAAGCATCTTTAGCACAGGGACTATCCTTGCTTTTATATTAGTACCCTCAGCTTTTTTTACCATGCTTTGCAGAGTATGTGATTAATAAATGCTTTTAAATGTATTCATTTCTTCAAACTGTAGGATTCATAAATCTTGTAAATAATATGATCATAAATTTTAAGTTGGAAGAGACTTCAGAAACCATCCGGTCCAACCCTCTTGTTTTACAGATGAAGAAACCGAGGTTTAGAGAGGTTAAGTAATTTTGACAATATCACACAGGCAGTGGGGATCAGTAGCAGAACCTGAACCCAGGTCTTCTGACTCCAGACACAATGCTCTTTCTACTATACTTAGGTACTTAGTAAAAGCAACCTACCTTCCTTCCTTCCTTCCTTCCTTCCTTCCTTCCTTCCTTCTTTCTTTCTTTTCCTTCCTTCCTTCCTTCCTTCCTTCCTTCCTTCCTTCCTTCCTTCCTTCCTTTCTTTCTTTCCTTCCTTCCTTCCTTCCTTCCTTCCTTCCTTCCTTCCTTCCTTCCTTCCTTCCTTCCTTCCTTCCTTCCTTCCTTCCTTCCTCTCTAGATTTCTGTTGCTGCCAACTATGAACCTCTGAGTCACTCTCTCTCCATTGAGCCACCTAGCTGCCCCATTCTGTGATTTACCAGGCTTCTGGGGCAAGGGCCACTTGGACAAAGAAGTGAGCAGAGAATAAAACTTTTACTTGGAATATAGAGGCAAACTTATAGCTGGCTTGGAGGGGTGGTGAGGAGGACTGCTAGGGGTGGAACTGATGAGCTAAGGCAGCACTGGTCGTTGGTTGGTTGGTTTTTAAACCAAGCTTACTAGACTAATGAGTCTCGGAAGCTGAAGTACCTCATTGTCTTTTGTGCAGGGACCCGAAGAAATGTTCTAGGAGATCATGGAGTGGAAAGGGAGTTCATTGTGGTCTCAGATTGGAGGACTAGTAGGGAAGCTGTGTGCTCTATAGTCGACAGAAGTCTGAATGTTTGGCATGGGAGGGGGAGGGGAAGGGACATTTCATTATCAATTGGGAGCGATTGTCAGTCATGTGGTTATAGGTTAAGAGCTGGAAGGGACCTTAGAGGTCATCTAGTCCAAATCCCTCCCTATATAGGTGAGGAGACTGTGACCGCCAAAAGGGAAATTATTTTCTCAAGGTCACGTAGGGAGTGAATAGCAGAGTCAGCATTTGAACTCAGATCCAGGGCTCTTTGGACTTATACTCTCCCAGCTTCAGCTTCTAGACTGAGGATTTACGTCTGAATGTAGTACGAAGCCTGGATAACCTTGTTCCCAGCACCCTCAGGTTTCTATCATCACCTATCACTGCCTCTGCTTCACAGTCTGCCTCTTCCGCCCTCCTCCTCCTTCCTGCTCTCTCCCCCTCCTCAGTTCTGCATCTTAATCCATCTTTTCCATCCGTCAGTGAATGAAACAATCTCCCCAGTGGGCTGTGCCCCTTAGTCACGTCAGTAAATGTCACTTTAAAAAAAGCCAACAGTCACAGAATCAACACATCAACACACATGGGCAGTACTTTGCTGTAACTACAATTCTCTCAGCCGTGAGGCGGGGTCGGGGTGGGGGATTTCACCTCTTTCCTCTGCGGAGGACAGGAGAGAAGCCCAGCAAGCTGGAGGAAACAGTTTAATGCCCTTAGTTCTTTTTCCACCCCGGGTAAATAAAGGCTTTTTTGTTTTTAAACGTTAGAGCCCCATCTGTGATTTTATTGGTGTAGGGAAATCCCGCAGAGGAAATTCTCTTTATCGATGGAGGTCTTTACCTGCTCTACAATTTAGTTTAGAGTTGTCCGGGGGCGCTGAGAGGCTCTGCTACTTGCCCAGGGTCACAAAGCAAGTATGTGTCAGAAGCAGGAGTTAAGCCTAGATCTTTCTAGAATATAAGCCCCTTGAGGGTAAGAACCTTTTTTTATCCCCAGTGCCTAGCATGGTGCATAGCATATAGTAGGGACTTAAAAAATGCTTGTGGATTGACTCATTGATTGATTGACTGATTCCTTTCCTGACTCCCAAGTCAGCTCCCCATTCATTACAAAATGCTGCCCACATCACTAGAGGCAGCCAAGTGGTTAAAGTGCTGGACTTGCAGCTAGACCAGTGGATAAAGCACTGGACCTGCAGTGGGGTCTAGACCCAAATTCAAATCCAGCCTCAGACATTTCCAAGCTGTGTGACCCTGAGCAAATCACTTAATCTGTTTGCCTCAATTTCCCCATCTGTAAAATGGGGATAATAGCACTTGCCTTCCAGGGTTGCTGTGAAGATTAAATGAATAATAGATTGTATGGCCCTTAGCACAGTGCCTGACACATAGTAATTGATACATAAATGTGAGCTATTATTAAGTCATAGCCTTCCCCTACTAAAAGCAGCAGGCTAATAGAGGTTCCTGCTCATCTTAGAAATCATCTCAAAGTTTTAGCAATAAGAAGGCCCAGAGCAGGGTGTGTGTGTGTGTGTGTGTGTGTGTGTGATGGAGCCCTTTGGCGGTCTGGCCAAGCCTCTGGATGATTTATTGCCTACATTCATAATAGAAAGAAATGCTAAATTTTAGTTAGAGGTCAATGAAAATAAAGATGTAGTTGTTTTTTCTCACCCAAGTTCATGCACCATCTTAAATCTATCCTTAAATATGTGGATCTCAAATTAAGAACCCTTCACCTGTATAGAAAAGTGAAAAAAAAAACCCTACAGATCAGAGGACAGCTTGTATACAGCTTTCATGTCGGTGCCTCCCAAGCCTGCACACATATCCACCAGCACCCAATAGATGGAGCCTAGTAAGCCCCCTGACTGTGTCCCCCAAATAACTTTGGTTGGGCAGGTATCAGTGAAGCCTAGTTAGTTCTCAGATGCAGGCCAGTCTTGGCTGAGGCTATCACACAAGCAACCTCAGGATCAGATTCTTAATTTCCAGTCTCTTCTAAGTGTCAGGAAAGAAAAAAAAAAAGAAAGGAATAAAAAAAAAGTTCCCCTAATGCAAGCAGAATGGGTCAGACAAGTTCAAAAGGTGAAATAAATGAATCTTTACACATTATAAGAACCCAAATCAACATTCTTCTGTGGCATAAAGTGCCTAAAAAAACCAGCAAGTAAAAGCAGGTGTGATGTGCGTCCTGTCAGCTCACGACACTGATAAGCCTGCCATGCCTGGCTCTGCTTCCTTTCAAACAGACTGCTGGGGAAAAAAAGGGGGGGGGGGAGCCAGAGCAGAAATAATTGCTGGAGCTTTGAGTTAGCTGAGAGAGCCTGCAGGCTAAGATCAACGGTCCTGATTTCATCCTCCTCCTTTTATTTCTATAACCTTAAACGTTCTGCTATTATAAAAGTCATCATGTCAGCTTTCTCCCTAGCCTCCACAGCTGCCCATTTTCAAATTGTATCAATTGGTAAAGCTTTTTTTTCAAAAAAATTTTGGCTGGAGTATTTTCATCTTGATTTATAGTTTCTGCACTCTCAAGATGAAGCAAAACTCCAGTGGCCTGATTCAAGCATGGAGGCATGCTCTCCTCCTGGGCATATGTTTATAATCAGATCCTCCAGAAACAATGCAGGAGCTAGCAAAGATTTTTTGAAAATAATTATAGATATTAAAGCAAATTGCAAGTGAGCTGCATTTATCCTAAATCTATCTGGCCAGAGAAGGGGGTGAGGGGGGAGGTTGGGGCTCCTTTGATTCCTAACATCACCTTCTTGGCCTAGCTCCCCAGATCTTATATTCCTTGGACTATTGATAACTGACAGGTAACTAACAAATAAGAAAAGACCTGATGGATTACTCACTCCATAGACAGGCCTGTATGTGTAGCAGCTGTGCCTATTAGAGGTGGGAGAAATGAACAAGGGCAGCAACAATATTTTAAACAGGAAGGGATGCCAAAGCACAAATAAAAACCCACATATAGGCTGGTTTCACCATGGGAGGCAGCCAGGTCCTTACACAAGTAAGGCTGGTTGGATTCCCTTCTAAATGGGGCCATCTTAGACCCCAGAGAGCAAATTATTAGAATGTTTAGGAAGATCACATGAGAATAGCCAACCAAATGCAAAGGTCCACAGCCGCTTCCGTGAAGCATTTGTCCATGGGGAGCTATGGAAAAGAATGACCTCCTGACTCCACAATACAAAGGATATCAGCTCTTCCTCTGCCCATGGCTGCCACTCTGGCAGTCACACACATGCACAAAGGAGATGGTGCAGTTAGCTGAAAGGTTAAACTCTGCGTAAAAAGAAAAGAAAAGATATTCTACGTAAAAAAAAGAAAAGAAAGAAGAAGAAGAAAAGAAAAGCTCATTCTAAAGCAGGGTGACAGGTCTTGGTCTGGCCTAGTGGTATTGAACCTAAAACAGTACTATGTATGCCATGGGGTTGGGAGAGAGGAAAGAGGACTCAGTGAACTTTGGAGGCAGCGAGTTGGGGGTCAATGATACTAATAGAATACTTGTACGTGAATTCATCCACTATACTCTCAGTTGTTGGAGATGGCAAAACCATGATAGGTGCCCATCCATTCATTTCCCTGGGACCCATTAACTGCCATTCCCTATGGTCCACTTCCTAATTCCTTCCAATTAATTGCATCATGCAGATTACAGACCTATCAAATTACAGTCTAATTTTCCAAGCCTTCCAAATCTCACTTCGCTGAGTCGAAAGCCCCTTTCGAAGGCTGCTAAACATAGACTGTGGCCCTTCGGAAGGCAGTCAAAGCAATAGACAGACCTGGTATGTGTGTAGGATGAGATTGGGGTAGGGGTGGGGGTGGGGGGCAGGGGAGTAAAGTGTGGAATGGGGAGAAAGAAGAAGAGGATGATAATTGTGCCAAGGACCCTGACAGATTTGAAAGAAAGTGTCTTCATTGAGAAATTGCATTCTGAAGTTCCTCTCGTTTCTTCAGAAATAAATGGATGAGAGCAGCATGACTGGGGCTGACAGGAAGTGAAGACTGGAGACTTCAAATACAAACATTATGAAAAACAAGCAACATCTGCAAACAGTAAGTACTTATTTATATTTTATGGAGTGTGTGCTTGGGGTTTTGACAGGTTTTTAAATCGAGCCGATTTTAGGCCCCTACAAAGGCGAGAATGTCCCCTTTAAAAATGCATTACAGCGTTGAAAAGAAAAGTCTAAGTCTGTGGTGCCAGCCTCAGGTGAGTCCTGACCCCTCCCGACCTGGTCTAACAAAACACACATGCAGTGTTTTCCAGGGAACAGTTTACTGCTACTTTCTCAAGGTCAGAAGCAGACAGGCACTGGAGGGAGGGTTAGTATTCAGCTAGCTTTTCCCTCAGCTGACAGAGTGGCTTTGAACTTTTCCATTTTCAACAAATAGGAAGAGAAACTCAAGGAATTAAGCACATAGACAACAAGGCAGACTAAATAAATAAATGAATGCATTAATGCATGCTCAAACCAAGGAAGGAACCAAAAAGTGGACAGTCCTGTCTCTGGCAAAGAGAGAGAGAGAGAGAGAGAGAGAGAGAGAGAGAGAGAGAGAGAGAGAGAGAGAGAGAGAGAGAAATTTTTAATGTTAGAGGATGATCGGGAAATTAAAAAATGAAAACCCTTAACTGCATTTTCTCATGGACAAGCCCTTTATTTTTGACTACGGATGAAGAATTGGTTGGCAGGTACGGTGTGCTGTGCTCCATGAAATATTTAGTAAGGCAATAACGACTCCCTGGGCAGCTTAAGAAAGCCACGATTATATTCAGAGAGAAAGCCATGAACAAACAGAGGGGGGGAAATACAAAGACAGATAAAGAAAGGCCTTTCATCAGGTCTTCCTGTCCAATAATACAGTCAGGCTTGATCCATATGTTTTGAGGAAAATCAAAGTGTCATGGCTACCCAAAATGTCAATAGCTCCAGTAAGGAATATTGTCTAACATTTTCTATTACACTGTTCAAGAATTTGCCTCCCAGCGCAATTTGGAAGAAAAAAAAAGTCTTTTATTTCTAAAACACTAAAAGGAGGGGGGGGAAATGAACAAGGCACATCTCAGTGCGGCATGTAATACAATAACGCTTTGGGCTCCCAAACTGTCCTGGAAACTGATACCCTGATGAAAGTGAGTCCTTCTCCACACCTTTCATATGTTCTGTCCTTTCTTCACAGACAGTGCTGCAAGGCACATCCCGGGCAGTTTGATGTAACAGAGCAATCACCAGGCAGCAGGAAACTGGAGATGCTGAACTTTCAGCAGCCCTAATATTTTTATAATCCTGCATAATGATTTCAGGATTGGGTCACAAAAACAGCAACTCCTTCTATGCCAGGCCAGGCACCCAGGTGGGTGGGTGACCTGCTTCTCTCTCTCTCTCTCTCTCTCTCTCTCTCTCTCTCTCTCTCTCTCTCTCTCTCTCTCTCTCCATATATGTATATATATTTACATACATACACACACATGTATTCTCTCTTTTCCTTCTCTACACATATACATATTTAAGGCTCATATATAAACAAGCAATTTATTGCAGCCTTGGCACAATTGTAAACAAAACCAAAGACCAAGCCCTGGGGAGGCTTGGGGAAGCATCTGGTTTGACAGAACCTTAGTGCATATAGCTTCTTCTATTTGTTTCCCAAACACCCTGAACATTCTAGAGGGAAAAATCACACTCGTGGTACTCTCTGTCTGTGCCTTTATTCAGTAGACTCTTAAACAGAAGTGGATGTCAAGCAGATAATCAAGTCTGCCCTACAAATTAGTCTCTACAACTAAACAAACCACTGTTGTTGCCTTAAAGCATGCCCTCCTTCCCAACTCACGCACATGTACATATAGATACTGAAGCGTAAAAAGAGGAAAAAATGTAGATAAGGTTTGTTTATTTTTTGTTCATTTCTCATTGTTTACATATTTATGGGCAGCCCTTTGGACGCCTCGTGTAATCTTGCTGCATGAAAGAAAATTAAATTGTCCGCCTGAGTTTTGCCCCCTTTCTATTAGAGTATTTTTTCCTTGTTGCTAAGCTAATATTCTTACAGAAGGCTGGGGAAATGCTCTCCCCTCAGCATAAGGGAGGTGTTGCTGGGAGGTGATTCTAGATTTCTACCTCCCTGAAGGCTACATTCAGAAAGAGTTAGGAAGAGCCCAGGAAGTGTGGCCCCAATTGTCGAGATTTCATACCTCCCATTGATTTTTCCTAAACAAACAGGATTACACACCGTTCCACTGGCTGCAGTCTCCTGGCACGCTCAGGCATGACTTATGTGCCAAGCCATCTTTACAGGGAGCCCACCCATACATTCATTCCCCACACTGACAACTGGACCATTTGAACTTTCCTTAGGTCTATTCTTCATCTAGGCCTCTTTTTGAGAAACTTAGGTACTAAGAAACAGCAAGGGGACTTTGTCTGAACCACTGGGTCAGGTGGGACCTGGATACTTGGGAAGAGGTCAAGTGGAGCCCAGAATTCAGGATGCTTTACCTCCAAAGACAGGCAAACAGTCTTCAGGCGATATACCCCCATACCAAGACACAAAGAGTAAACGGCAACAGAAATCAAAAGTCACAAGGGTAGAATTGTCATTAGCATGTAAATTTTAAAACCTCAGTCAAAAATATCAATACCTCCCACTTAATTTATTACTATATAAAGATGGATGACAGTGAAGGCAAACATTGATTTTCAAAGCCCTTTTTTAAAAAAAAATGATGAAGAAAATACTCAAGGACAACACAAAATACCTACCCTGAAAATTAATTATTTCATTATAAAAACAACAAGCAAATACAAACATGGCAGCCACAGCTTGTTTGGTTAAATCTTATTTAATTATTATTAATTATTATTGTTATATTTTTATGAAGTAGAGCAAATTATTTATGTTAAAGACCAATTTCAGAATAGATTAGATATAAAGACAGGTTAGCATTTTTACCATATTGACAGCAAACCATTAAGCAGGCCGACTATAGACTGGGTCAATGAGAGGTAATCGAAGAGGCACGAAGTGCCTTGCATGACAATCCTCTATACCTTGTGCTCCAGCTGGCAGACTTGGATCGCTGCTGATCTTCTAGAGAACCAATGTAGAATCTCTTTGCCCCACTGGATAAAGCATAATATCATTATTATATTCGCCAAATCCTTCTTGTGAATATTAAGACCAATCCAGCAAAAGATTTAATCACTTAAAACCCCATCAAGTTTGAAACTGCTTTTTGGAGCTCGCTGGTCTTGAAACTTTCTTTGTTTCTAAAATGACTCCTGGACCAGAGAGTAATTTAATTGTCCTCCATGCTGTTCATGAGGGGAAATTCTATCTGACTTTTGGTTTGGGGGAAGAGTCCGTATTTACACGGTAGGTGGAAAGAAGGGGTTAGGGGTGTGCAACAAAAGGAGAAAATAAACCATAAATCATATAATGTGGCTCTTGGTAAAGAAGTAGATACGGGCACATTTTTCTTTCATCTGTAATGGTTTTTCAGTGCCTCTTAAACACGATCTCCTGTTTGTAGCAGATGGGTTCTTTAAAAGGAGAGGGAAGGCTAGTTATCTTTAGATTTTCTAGAGGTTCTACTTTTTTCTTTGAAAGTATAGAAATACATATGTTTTAAAAGAGAAAGAAATGAGGATTATTGGCATTAAGAATTTTATTTTGCATTTTGATGTAGCCTTCCATCTTAGGAATTCCAGGTGTTTGCAAAATAAGCCCATTATCCATTCTCTCTCTTTCTCTCTCTCTCTATCCTCCTCCCCCTCCCTCCCTCCATAAATCCTATGAAGTAGGAAGGTTTCATTAAAGTCCTGGGCTTTGTTATGGGATGAGAAGGTGGTAGATTTCCATTTCTGGCATTTGGATGATTTCATTTTTAGAAAGATGCTTAGGCAGTAAGCAAGTTCTGCAAATTGAGAATAACATCTTGCATTCAAATCTGGAATTGCGCATCTTTTAGAGCAACGTTAGATATTTGTGGAGGACCTTAATCTCTAATAAGGCCTGTCCATCAGAGTCTGTAATATTGTGCTGATACTTCTAATATGATAGGATGCTTTGATTGTATTGAGCAGCAGTGCAGTCTTCTCTAGCAGGGAGCAGGCTTATGAACCATTGCTGAATGTAAAATCAACATCAAGTTGCTTGACATCTTTTTGCTATAATTGGATTTAATTCATTATCTTTCATTTCAATAAAATTACAGGAAAACACAGGATGCAAATTTTTTGGCTAATTGGTTATGGAAATTCAGGTGCTGAATGTGATATTTGGTAGCAATATAAATTTCCTATTTATAAAAGAAAAACACAGTGGTGCCATTATCATAGAATTTATAACAATATATTTAATTATAGGGACACATAATTAGTGAGTCTTTCCACAAAGCAATATCCAGTAGCTTTTTTAGATAAGTATTTACAGCTGTGTACACAGCTAGTATTAAGGAGGGGTTTTTCTCAGCAACATGGTTAGTGCCATCAAACAAATATTGTGGAAAGCGAGTATCATCGACAGCATGGTTAATATTCTTATTGTGCCTTGGGAGATTTTGGGGATCTTTTGCAACTCCCTGCCTAACTTTGCAACACAGTTTTCATAGTGGTGAAAAGGTGAGAAAATGAGAGCCCCAAAGACTGTCTCCCTTCTTGCAAAGACAGAAATAGTAAAAGCTGAACTTTCAGGAGTGACACAAGAGGGGACAGAGAGGAGAGAAATGGGGGGAAAGAGAGAGAGACAGAGAGAGACAGACAGACAGACAGACAGAGAGAAAGCAATTACCCTTTTTGTTTTTGGCTTCCCTGTTCTGTCCAAGGAAACCAGGAATAAAATGCAAAGATGATGCAAGCTGCAGGCATGAAAAATCAGAAACTCTCTTCAAAGGTCAGGCCGACCTGCAGCTGTTGCAGAAAATAAAACCAATGAGGCCTACTCCGAGCAAACACCCTCTGTGGCTTTTTATTACCAAATGATATGAACCTTGACCTAACCTGAAAAAAAAATTTAATATTTTCTCCCAAATATTTAAAAAATTTATTCTAGGG